GGGGGGGGGTGGGTGGGGGGGGTGTGTGGGGGGGGGTGGGGGGGGGGGGGTGGGGGGGGGCTTTAAAGCGGCATTTTGCGATATAAACGGTCGCTATTAAAGTGGACTCGGCAAAGAGGGTGACCCTTCTACTCGAAACAGGTTTTCTTTAAATCAAGAAATAAAGAAAAAATTCAATTAGCTTACTGTTTTGTGAAGGTTCTCAGGAATGTAACATGCTTAAGTCGACGCTCAATGCATGTCTATCTTCAGGCCGCTATTTATTTTGCAATTAAGTTTAGCATTTCAATTAATCCAACGGCGTCATTATGTTTCAGGACTTGTTTAAGAATACTGGATTACCTGAAGGCGGGATTAACATAATTGCTGCAGGACTACACACCCACTTGGCAGGTAAACGTGATAGAGATTATATTGTCAACCTAATGTGAGGAAATTCGGATTCCGGAAATCGGGTTAATTCGTATGGAATCCGAAATCCGGTAAAATTTTGATTGTGGAATATGGAATCCTGGGTTTTGGCTTGAGGAATCTGGAATCCCATGAACGATTCAATTCCAGAATCCAAGTTCCACTGACTGTAATCCAGTACCTCAGGAATCAATGGGGACTCCAAGGCGTGGAATCCAGAATCCACGATTGCGTTGGATTCCTTTACATGGGGCGAATTGTCGATTGCCTGCCCTGTTACCCGAAAGTCAGTCATAAAGAGCAAGAAAAATTGTTTAATGTCAGGACTGATGCTGATGATGACGACTATGATTTTTTTTGTTGGTTTTATTTTATGAAGAAAGGATTAAAAAAAAAAAACATTTTTGTTGCTTTTGATATTGATGCAGATTAATTAGTTTTCTTTTGCTCTGTTTTTGTCCACGAAACCGTTATTTTCGGAACATTTTTTCTTTCAGGGCGCGCAAGCTGGACTAAGCACGTTCGTAAAGGAAAAGAACTCCCTGAGATTGCTCGAGATGATCATTACGACTTCAATTTTCAGGTGTGCGAAACAACACTTTATCTAGAAAAATACTTTCCCGAATAGGTGGTTCTTGTTAAAAGGTACCACGTAGATGGTTTCAATTTACTCGAACTCATAATAGTAGCACTTTCATGTGACAGAGTATTTTTATTTTTTGTAGGACACACAAATGTTAAGAAAAGAAATCAACATTCAGCCAGTAAGTAATTACTACGATTGCATGATGCACTCCAGGAGTAACCAAAACAAAACAAAACAAAATAAAATAACCAAAAAAACAACAAAACAAAAAAATTAAGGAAAAAAAAACGTTTATTGAGAAAATTCAAATGAAATCGCAAAACATAAATAGTTTCAGACACACTTTAATGAAAAAACTGCCCAGATGCGGATGTGATCACATCACCACCCGTTCTGTCAAATTTCCTTCAGTGGTTTTCAAAACAAAAATGCATTTACAATAATCACCTCTCTTATTAATGTAAAACCACCAAACCTCACATTTGCTGAATTCAATGCTGATGAATTTGATGCGGCATTAATTATTAGAAAAAAAGTATTTACAAAGACAAAATACTGCAAATATCTAAAAAAACTATATTACATTTTCATTTGTAGGATGTCTATAATGAGTGCTATTTTGCAGTTGATTCGGCTCCACCGTAACCGTGTCCGGACTCCAATTCTAAACTTCAGTATTGTGTACCCCAAAACAATTTTATTGGTAAAACAGTTATTGGTTGCTGCTTTTCTGGCATATAAACCTCTTATTTGCCAAAGCTGTACTGTAAATTACGGACCTAGTTTTTCCCACGATTTATTGTCCGAGCGCAAAGTGCGCGGGCTATAAATTGTTGGGAAAAACAATGATAGTTGATCCGTAATTTATTTATAGTACAGACCAAGAAAAAGAACTTCTTGAATCTTTTTCTGAGCGTGGAAAAAACCCTTAAAAAAGAGTTTTCAGTCTTATGAATTGGCTCCTGACAGTCAGGCTTTAAAAAAATCTACAGCAAGAAAACAAATGCTCATTTCTTTTTAAGAAGGGTTCTAGTTTACCATATATTAAACTAAATTTTGATTCTGAGTTTGCTTCTTTGTTACTAGACACACTTGGAAAGGGGCATAATTAAAGGAAAGTGAAAGGGCTTTTCCCTTTCGGTCCGTAGACTGAGTTACGGACCGAAAATTGACCAATCAGGCAGAAGAGAAGTCACTTAGCAACAAAATGAATACTAATAATCAATTTTTTTAGGGAGACGACATTATTCATTACTGTCAATATGATTCAATGGACAGAGATAAACCGATCAAAGTAAGTTCATTAACTTTTCGTTTCCTCTGAAACATTTTCCAGAGGAAAAAAGCTTTCTAGCAAAGTAACAGTAAATGGAATGGAAGCGAAAAAGGAAAGCAACTAAACAAATTAAGTAATTATATGAATGCCTGGTTGTATTAATGCATCAAAAGTGGTAGTTAGCATGCAGAATAGTAATATACTTTCAAACGTAGTTAGTTGGGTTTCTCTTTTTCAGTTTTAGTTTGCTTTGTTTGTTTGTTTTCTTTCTGGCAAGATAGTGACCAGAAAACGTCCTAATAGGCTTTTTGGCGTTTATGGCAAAATTTTAGAGGCGAATGGGTCAAAATAATTAAACAGCGACGGGCCAAAAAAAAAAAAATAATGATAATAACTATAATGATAATATAATAATAATACGATATCCCTCAATACCTCCTCTGATTAAAATTAGCTTGACAGAACTTGAATTGTAAAGCGTTGAAGTCAACTTAAAATTTTGCCATAGAACGCCGTAAAGCTTTCCGTGACGTTTTAAAAACAGGACAAACTTGAAACAAGAAAAAAAATTAAATTATTAATAACGGTATCGAATAAAGCCGTTAGAAGAGATTCTAAAATCCAGTGAAAAATGAATTTCGTTGTCGATATATAGATGCGAGTTTCAGTCAAGTTCTACGTTTTTTAATTTCCTTAAAGGAGACTGTATTTAGACGTATTTACAGCAGATAGATTCGCTTTTTGTTCATTCTTTTTTTTTCGTTCATATGTTTAGGGAGGTGACAGTACATACGAGGAAATGTGTTTGGACTTCTTACTTTACTATCCTCGTGTTAAAGGCCTCAAATGGTGTGACACTACCTTATTTGAACCTTCGTGGCAACTGGTCGACAAACTATAGTAAGTATATCTATATTTCACTAGTCTCGCTTGCGTAAGCAGCAAGACTCATAATCTGCAAAGCGTTTTTCGCTTGGGGGAGAGGAGGGAGG